AAATATATATCTGAAGCAAAAATGAAATATGTTAACATTTTATATGTGGGTATGTGGGTGTATACATTTTTGCTATTTATTTTTTAAACTTTTCAAAAATAAAAATCTCTCATCTACAAAACAATATTACAACAAAATTAAGAAATTTAATAAAGTTCTGATCTTCATATTTCAGCTTTCATTTGAAAACAAAAACAGCTAAACTGTGTGAGCTTATGTATGTATATACACTTTAACATACATATGGAAAACGCATTTTTACACAGATCAAGAGAGACAGGTTTTAACAAAGTATGTCAGAAACAGTATCTCTTACTATACATTTTAATGACTCACTATTCTCAGTGAAAATAAAGTATAACACTAGTAGGAAAATTCCCTTGATATCTTTCTACCTCTTTCTTTTTGTCTCTTTTCTCTCTTGCTTTCTACTTGTGATTTTTAACAGAAGGAAGCACAAAGAAGGAACTAAGAAAGTGTCACACATTTTAAAAATAATAACAGCCATAGATGAACATATAGGCAGCCCTTCTAACTATAGGATTCCCAAACCTACAATCAAGTAATGTTTCAAAAATGTATCTGTAAATTTGTTGTCTAGAACTCACAGCACACATTCCTATGAAGAAAGTTACAAAAGCATATGAGCACCAGGAAAAAGATACTGCCTGAGGTGTCAGGCTACTGGCAGAGAAACAGGAAAATCTGAGTACACAATATGTACTGATGGTCCAAAAAGCAAAAAAAAATTCTGACCCAGGGTCTGAGGCCAGAAATCACTATTCATTTATTTACCTTTGTAATCTCAGTAACTAGCAAATTATCTGGCATCTCATAATCAAAGACCATTGCCTACTGACTGACGAAGTAATGTGGAAATGACTAAGTAGAGGAATCCATCAACAGGTGGCACTGTCAACACAGAACAGCTTTGGTGGAAGAAAGAAAAACCTTGGTGAGAAGCAATGTTTAAAGATACAAAAATCCACATATGTAAAACTATTACAAGGTTAGTGCTGGTTATTAAGAGAACGTCTTCATCTAAATTACAAGCTGTGTCTATTATTGTATAATGAAAATAAGCATGATATTTTGGGTTACTTTTGCTAACAATAAACCTTAAGATAATTTTCCTACTGTAGCAATAGTTATTTGGGATTTTCAGTATTTTCTCCTATGACCCTTGAAAATATTTCAATGTCTTTTTCATAATTAAAAGAGTAATAATTGGCTAGGTGCAGTAATCTCAGCACTTTGAGAGGCCAAGGCGGGCAGACTGTTTGGGCTTACGAGTTCAAGACCAGTCTGGGCAACATGGCAAAACCCCGTTTCAAAAAATACAAAAATTAGCCAAGCATGGTGGCGCATGCCTGTAGTCCCAGTTACTTGAGAGGCCGAGGTGGGAGGATGGCTTGAGCCTGGAAGGTGGAGGTTGCAGTGAGCTGAGATTGTACCACTGCACTCCAGCCTGGGTGACAGAACCAGGCCTTGTTTCAAAAAAAAAAAAAAAAAAAAAAAAAAAAAAAAAAAAAAAAAAAAGTAGTAATTATTCAAAACAGAGAAAAGCACAAAAACTAAAATAAAAATTACCTATAATTCTATCACCCAGGGATAGCATCTCTCACTATTTTATATATCTCCTGCAAATCTTTTTGCCATCTATACCTATATGTTTCTTTATATTCTAATTTTTCTCTTAACATTATATTGTACTTTCTTATGTCAGTACATTTTTTAAATGATTTTTAGAAGCTGTATCCACCATACAGATTATCATTAATTTCACCATTCCTATATTATAATGCATTTTGACTATTAAAATTGTTCCACTCTTATAAAATGCTATATAAATTAACCACTTCTTGTTTCTTGTTTTCTGAGACAGGGTCTCACCCTGTTGCCCAGGTTGGAGTGCAGTGGCACAATCATAACTCGCTGCAGACTCAAACTCCTGGGCTCAAGGGATCCTCCTGCCTTGGCCTCCCCAAGGGCTGGAATCACAGGCATGAGCCACCTAATAGGGCCTAAACACTTCTTAAATGTACATTTCTACATTGGTCTTGTAGAATTCAAAGTGATAACTATGATATACAATAATGAAGTGTGGTGTGCTTGACTCCCTCCATCCCCAGCATCCTCCCACAAATTCTACTGAATAAACAATCTATCTGGGGCATTAGATAATAAAATAAAATAAAAAAAGAAAGGAAGAAAAATGTATCAGCTATTCTCAGTCACTCTTCTTCTACCTGTGGTAGGAAAAAGGAAACATCGCACAAAGATAAGTCTCTGACATTGGAGAAGGCAAGAATAACAAGTCAATTTTCCTGCTAGAGCAACTTTTGTTTTCCACCTAGAACAGCGCACCATCAATTTAACTAGGAATAGCACAAGATTTGTTATATACCAAACACCTCTATCTGCATCAGTGCTTTAACTAGGTTTTTGTAGGACATAGAATGCTTCAAAAAATTCTGCAAACAACAAAATATAATGTAACTAATACCACTCAGTGGAAAACCAAGTTTTATAATAGCAATTACACTGGCCGGGTGCGGCAGTTCACGCCTGTAATCTCAGCACTTTGGGAGGCCAAGGCGGGCAGATTGCTTGGGCTCACGAGTTCAAGACCAGTCTGGGCAACATGGCGAAATCCCGTCTCAAAAAATACAAAAATTAGCCAAGCACAGTGATGCACGCCTGTAGTCCCAGTTACTTTTATTTTACAATTCTATTAACCCCAGCTAATTTTATTTTACAATTCTGCCATAATTTTTTAAATGAATTAATAAATGTCATGTAGTCTCTTACTTCTTCTAGCCTCCCAATTATACTAAATACTATTCAAGTTACCAGAACTAGGACAACAGTTCCAGGAACTTGAGAATCAATAACTCTTTAAACCAGTGGTAATTCATGTGGAAAAGTTCAGAACAAATCAGCATCAACTTCCTGGCTCTCTTGCACAGACAAAAAACTCATATTGCTTCACCAATTTTCAAAAATGTAAATTTGTGTATATAAGTTTAAAACTTGGGCCAAAATGTATTTATATTTATTCCCAATTTGCGACTGGTATCAAGATCAATTAAATTTCTTAGCAAGTACATTGTCATAAAACTCCACAGTGATCCCAGAATGGAAGGGGCTTAAAAAATAATACAAAACAAAAATTAAACCTCACAGTGAAGTAGGTCTATGTTTAATCATTCAGAAAAAGAAAATTATGTAACATATTATATATAATGATGATAACATATGCTATTCTGGACTCCTACTGAGAGCTGTGGTTCAAAGGGAAACTGTGTAAATGAAGTAAAAATTGCCCATAATGTTTAATGCTGCCCAAAACAAAGTTTTCGAAAAAGAAGCCAAATATAATATTTTATTTTAAGTTCAAACAGGGTTCAAACAGCTCAGAAATTTTGTATACTTAAGTTTTCAAAAGTCGAATCCCAGAACTACTATCAACATAAACTGAATAACTTGCTCAAGAGTCCTTGCTTATTACCCAAATAAGTCCCCCAGAATACTTTTTAAAATAATCCCAAATGTACTACAATAGATTAGTGTAACCGGGGCTACACTGTTTACAGGTGTCTCCACCTCCTCCCCAAAGGAGAGAAGAGGCAGATTAGGGTAAACAGAAAATAGAATGAGACTACATACACACCAAATAACAGCTTGTAATCTTGCAAGACCGCTTCTTTCACATTCGGGCTATTCTTTTCATTAATGTATAATACATTTTAAAGAATAACCTATTCAGAGAGTAATACAATTTCTGCTCTCACGGGTCTCTAGCTGGCTGACACGCGTTTTCTCCTTAAATAAATACATGCCTGTTGACTGATGCCTGTCTTGCTGTTGCAAACAAGAAATAACTGTCCTATAAGACAAAAACCTCTGTGGCTCTAGGCGTAACCATACGTTTGAATTAAAAGCACATTGGAACAACAACAAAAATCTTCCAGCACATCTGTCATTTAAAAGCACGATAATGAAAAGCTGTCGCTGCGACCCAATTTTAGGTCACAAGCTTTTTACTGTTTTTCCTGCCCCCCCCCCCCCCAACCTCTAGAAAGCGATAAACTTCAAAGGGAATGGTGGTAACCAGGAACCGTTCCCTTCCCCCACCACACACCATCCCCAAAAAGACTAGAAAAAAAACTGGCCAACTTGGACGCTGGCCGCGCTCACGCAGAACCCGTGCCCGCGGGCCGGGGAAGGCTGGACAGACCCTGGGAGGAAAAGTGGGCCTCCAGGCACCCCGGGCTCCCCCCGCCGCCTGTCTCAGATACCGAGCAGGTGGGATTCCGGGAAGCCACCTCCGACTTACGTAACGGGCTTGTCAAAATCCCAGATCCAGGACCTCCCCCTCCCCGCCCCCACTCGCAAATAACAACAGCCCCAGGCCAGCCTGGAATAGAAAATCTGGAATGAAAACACAGGAACCCCCCACGCGTCCGACGCAGAGGCGCGGGTGCTACTCTCAGCACCGCCACGCCATCCCGGGGCGGACCGAGCCGCGGAGGACCTCCCGGCTCTCAAGAGCTCTCGGGCGGAGGTCGCGGCCATCCGTGCCGCCTCCCCGAGCCCGCCCGCCCCGCTCCCGCGCCCCCGGCTGTCACCTCTCCGGGCCGTGACAGCTCCACCTGCCACCGCTGCCCGGGTCGCCGCCCCCGCACTCACCTCCCAGCTGGCTCTCGAGCGAGCAGCGGATCGAGCTTGAAGAGCCGCGCCGGATTCCCTCACGCGCGGCAGCGGGACACGAGAGGCTGAATGCCGCGGCGCTCTGAGCCCGCTTAGCTCATCCCCAGCCCAGCGCTCCGCCCTCCGCGGCACCCCCGCCCGCCCAGGCCTGCCGTCTCAGTCAGACGGGACTCCCCCTCCCCTCGCGGCCGCCACTGCCTCCGCCTCTTTCTCCGACTCCAGCCGCCGCGGCTACCGCTACCGGCGCCATCTTGGCAATGACGGAAGGGGCGGGGGCGGGAATCACGCGCGCGAGTACCAATCGAAGGCCGGATGTGGCCCTAGTGGGAGGAGAGGGCCGGGTTGAGGGTCGTGGGGTCCTAGCGCCAAACTGACGAGGGGGCGGAGAAGGTGGGCGGGACTAAATCGCCCTAGCCTGTGACGTGCGGTGTAGTTGGGGAAACGCACCGTGGTTCCCCGTCGGGTCAGGAGATCCCAAGCCTCAGGCTGGCGTGGGCGAAGCGTACAGTCCCTTCACCTTTCGCAACCCAGAAGCACAAGAGTCCAGTTCGCGCCAACTGACCTGTTTCTTCCTTCCTCTCCGGCACTCCGGGAGTCCTGAGATTGCCTTGCTCGGTTCGTAGGTCTGAGCTTCTCCACCAAGGGTGCTCAGATTCTCCAGGAAACTCCCCTCAGGGTTAGCAACCGCGGAGTGGGTTTCGGTCCCAAGATAGAAAGGTAAAGCGGGGAATTCAGGGGGTTTCTCCGAAAAGTACGTTGATAAAACCCCAGTTGTTGACTGACGGGGTGTCCATTACTTTGGATTAATTGGATACGGCCTACTTAAACCTGACTTTGGCTCTCCACGACTGATGGCTGTTGACAGATGAGGATAATAAAGCTTGATTACCTCCCCCCAACGGGGTTGCTCGGGAGTTAAATTCTATAGTACCTGTGAAGTACTTAGTATAGTGCTTGAAAGTACTAAGTAAATGTTAGATGTTATTCTATGGACAAATAAAAGAAGAAACAGGACCCTAAAAATCACTCTGCTTTAAAGTCAACTTTTCCTAAATTGCATAGCCTTTTACTAACTAAGTTTACAACTTTATTTCCTACCTCCAGTTCTTTCATTGTATTCATTCAGTCAACAATCATCGATACAGAGGGTGCTCAAACAGAGGGTGCACAGTGGTGAGGGAAACAGAAAACCTCCACCTTCAGGAAACTGCAGTTTAGTGGGAGAAGAGGGACAATAAAAAAGTACTTCAGCACTTTTTTTTTTTTTTTTTTTGAGACGGAGTCTCGCTCTGTCTCCCAGGCTGGAGTGCAGTGGCCTGATCTCAGCTCACGGCAAGCTCCGCCTCCCGGGTTCACGCCATTCTCCTGCCTCAGCCTCCCGAGTAGATGGGACTACAGGCGCCCGCCACCTCGCCCGGCTAGGTTTTTTTTGTGTGTGTGTATTTTTTAGTAGAGACGGGGTTTCGCCATGTTAGCCAGGATGGTCTCGATCTCCTGACCTCGTGATCTGCCCGTCTCAGCCTCCCAAAGTGCTGGGATTACAGGCTTTAGCCACTGCCCGCGGCCTTCAGCACGTTTTAAGGGGAAACATGCTATAAAGTTTATAAAAATAACTCTGGGGCCAGACTCCTTTGCTCATGCCCGTAATCCCAACACACTTAGGGAGGCCGAGGCAAGAGGTTAGCTTGAGAAGTTCAAGACTAGCCTAGCAAAATGGCGAAAACCCTGTCTCCACCAAAAATACAAAAAATTAGCCGGGCGTGGCGGCGTGCGCCTGTGGTCGCAGCTACTTGAGAGGCTGAGGTGGGAGGATCGCTTGAGCCCCAGAGCCGGAGGCTGAAGTGAGCCGAGACTGTGCCACTGCACTCCAGCCTGGGTGACAGAGCAAGACTTTGCTTTAAAAAAAAAAAAAACAAAAACAAAACTATCGAGTTGCATACTTTAAATATATGTAGTCATCTGTATGTCAGTTAAAGCTGTAAAAAAAACTTTCGACACAGAGCCTTGCTATGTTGCCCAGGCTGGAGTGCAGTGGCCTGATCACGGCTTACTCCAGGCTCAATCTATCCTCCCACCTCAGCCTCTGGAGTAGCTGGGACTGCAGGTGCCCACCACCACACCCGGCAAATTTTTCTATTTTTTTTAGAGACTATGTCTCACTATGTTGCCTAAGGCCCGTCTCGAACTCCTGGGGTCAAGTGATCCACCCACCTCAGCCTCCCAAAGTCCTGTGTTTACAGGCATGAGCCATTGTGCTCTACCTTAAAAAAGCTTCTTTTAAAGTCCGGTTGGGAACCCTTCCAGTTCTTTACCCATTGGACACAGATTTAGCCTTTCGTTAGTTGTAAGTGTTGCTATACGTATCAGGTCAATTCCTCTTTGAGGAGTAGCGTGGTGTATCAAAATATTCCACTAGCAGCAAAAGCACTCTTTTAGTTGGTTATACATATATATGTGCATATATACACAAATATTTTCATCTACAGAGTACCAATTAAAATAGATATATAGTTGCATGTAATGTACAAAATCAGATTCTAAAACCTTTCACGTACAAAATCAGATTCTAAAACCTTTCAGAAGTTTAAAAGGCATGAAGGCTTTTTTAATCAGAGAAAATAGCTTCTTAAAGAACAATATTAATAAACAGTAGAAAACCAATACGCAGCGTTTGACTGTGTACCCAGGAAGAATCCTACCTCAGAGCCCCCCTTAACTGTCATATCAGGAGTCCTCTCAACACCCCAGGCATATGCGACTGTAGTCACAGTTAAACCTAAACCCTAGATGTGATTTGGGCAAAGGATTCTAACAGTGTAGACATAAGCCAAATAGAATTTTTTGGATAATAAATTTTGGCACCATGCCATTTCTGAAATTGTCATATTTTGTATGTGGAACTCTATCTGGCTATTTCTTAGAAGTTATTTTAAAATGCTGTGGTTTGAATGATGCATGAAGGAAAAGATGAAACCAATAACCATTTAAAGCAATGGAAGCGCAAGCTGTTGTACAGCCTAATCCTCTCCACCTGTTAAATCTATGTACCTTAATTGCTATACCAGAAATTTCTCACGCCTTTAAATGAAAACCTGGAGCCTCTATAGAGCAATCTTATTTATTTATTTATTTTTTTAAAGACAGAGTCTTGCTCTGTTGCCCAGGCTGGAGTGCAGTGTCGTGATCTCAGCTCGCTGCAACCTCTACCTTCTGGGTTCAAGCGATTCTCTTGCCTCCAGGGTAGCTGGGATTATAGGCGCCCACCACCACACCTGGCTAATTTTTGTATTTTTAGCAGAGATGGGGTTTCACCATGTTGGCCAGGCTGGTCTCGAACTCCTGACCTCAGGTGATCCGCTCTCTTCAGTCTCCCAAAGTGTTGGGGTTACAGCCATGAGCCACCACACCTGGCCTATAAATCAGTCCTTGATAGCTATGCTACAAGGCTTCCTTATGGGTGAGAAAACCTACCGGGGATCTGTGGCCTATTAGAAACTATTTAGATGTATCCCAAAGCAGAATCCACATTGACAAATTGTAGTCACTGTGAAACATTGAGTGACATTTGAGTGACATTCCAATGTATTTAATCCAGAAAGTAAAATTTATTAGCAATGTGGTCAAATTATCCGTTTGTTTCTTAAAAACACAAACCTGATGAAATTATTTTTGAAAGAAATTATCTGCCAGCCTGGGCAACATGGCAAAACTCTGTCTCTTCCAAAATACAAAAATTAGTCCATCATGGTGGTGGACGCCTGTAGTCCCAGCTACTTAGGAGGCTGAGGTGGGAGGATCGCTTGAGCCCAGGAGGCACAGGTTGCAAAAAAAAGAAAAAAGAAATTATCTGAACAATTTTCAAGAATAATAGTAAGAAAAGTCATGTTAGAAGTGACAAATTCTGTAATTCTGGCTGGGCATGGTGGCTCATGCCTGCAGTATCAGCACTTTGAGAGGCTGAGGTGGGAGGATCACTTGAGCCCAGCAGTTTGAAACCAGCCTGGGCAACATATCAAGACCTCATCTCTACTAAAAAATAAAAATAAAACAGACACAGTGGCACATGCCTGTAGTCCCAGCTACTTGGGCAGCTGAGTTGGGAAGACTGCTTGAACGCGAGAGTTTAAAGCTGCAATGAGCTAAGATCCCATCCCAGTAGTCTGGCCTGGGTGACAGAGCAAGATCCTATCTCAAAAAAAAAAAAAAAAAAAAAATACAAATTCTAAACCTGGTACTTGAGTAGAGTGGCCATGGACAGGAGAGCTGTAGCAGTCTAAGCCACTGCTGTCTCTGCCCTTTTGGTGGCCATCTGAGGAGTCATTCAGCACTTTTTCAAATTTCTGAAAATGATGACTTCTCAACATTTTTCTCAAATTAATTTTACCTCTTTCAGCAATTCCTTATAAGTTGAATTTTTACTTTTTAAATTATCTGCAGGGCAGTTGTTTTAAAAATAACATGGATTTTAACTGTCATTGACTACCAAGTATACTCCTCTGATTTTCTTGAAGTGGTAAGACAATATTTTCGTAACTTTTAACAAATTCACTTTAGAAAGCATTTGTATACAAAACACTGCGCTAGACCCAGAAGGAAAACAATGACAGATAAGCACACATTAGAGGCAAAAAGTATGTTCCTAGGCATATAACTTTAATGAAAGTCAAACTATGACAAATTATATGCTAGATGGATAAACTCGTTGCTCTGAGAGCCCAGGTGAGTGGAGTGATTAATTCTTATTGTGAGAATTGAAGGTGACGAAATAGACAAAATAGATGGCGTTTGAACCTACCCTGAGAGAAGCTGGACTTTCTCTGAAGGATGAGGACATCGTTGTTTGGGGAATTGGGCTGAGGGTGGTACAAGGAAGGAAAGGTGTTTGTGTTTGTTTTCACTTTGCATCTTTATAATAGATATAACAAATGAAAGAGATGCTCATAAATTGTTGCAATGCTTTGACTCTCATTGGGAGTGGCTAAAGGTTCAAATTCTTTGGAAGGATGGATATCTGTGCTGACTTGCAGGAAATATGAGTCAGCTTTTCTCATGAACTCAGCACTGTTGTTACAGCTAGGCTATTTGGGAAACCCGAAGCAGAACAAATCAGACACCGCAAGTCTTTTCTTTTTATTGATTGGCCCAGACATGCATCCTGCAAGGGTGCACAACAGGAATGCCCTTTTTATTGTCAAGACTTGAAGGAATTCTGTCAGCAAGGGGAAACACCTGTAATTGAGAATAAACTAAAAAAAAAAAAAAAAAAAAAAAAAAGCCCTCCTCTTTTCTGTCTATGTAATCACTCAGAATAGGAGACACACACGTCTTTAGTCCATACCTCTCTCCTGCACTCCAGGATTGTATATTCAACTGCCTCCAGATAGCTCAGTCCTAAGTATACCTGAAATTCAGCATTTTAAAGGTGAAGTCATTATCTTTACCCCAAACCTGTTACTCTTATAATTTCTCATTTCCTGAATAGTTTATAGTTTAAGTCACCATGCACCTAAAAGCTAAAGCCTCCTGTGGAGGCTGAATTTTTTTTTTTTTAGGAGTTCGAGACCAGCCTGTCCAACATGGTGAAACCCTGTCTCTACCAAAAATACAAAAATTAGCTGGGCATGGTGGCATGCGCCTGTAGTCCCAGCTACTCTGGAGGCTGAGTCAGGAGAATCACTAGAACCCAGGTGACGGAGGTTGCAGTGAGCCAAGATTGT